GGGAGAGGATCAAAGCGAAGCTTCCTCGTATGTAGTAGACTCCGAATACCTAATATTCCCTTATAAAAGGCCTTGTTTTAAACACCAAATACAGAGGCAGATCAAAGCTCAGCTTCTCATTTCTCTAACAGCCCTCAGAAGGCTCCACCAGCCAGCCCAGCACACAGGCACACGGGGCTGACACCAATCCAAGGTGCATAATTGAACTCTGCTAATTTGTCAAAACCATCACCGCTTGCTAGGGAAACAGCCAGGTACCTTGTTCACAGAGAGCTCAGCCCAGGAGCATCCCAGAGCCATGCCCTCCCTCCCCTGGGCTGCTGGAACAAGAGCTGTGCAGGAAAACAGAGTGGCATGTTGTCCCCCTTCCTCTTTAACAGGAGATGCCAGGAGGTGAAGCAGGTGAAGCAATGCCAGACCCAAGCGTGGGGGAGCAGGCTCAGGGTGGTGCAGCTCCAGCTCCAGCAGATACCAGAGAGAGCTTGAGGAGCAGCAGCCAGCTGAGGACACTCCATGAGACACCCCAGGAGGGGGGACACTGTGCTGGGTGCCCCCCAGCATACCTCAGCCACCACAGGAACAAAAGCATCCCTCTGCCTTTGCATGCCACGCTCTGTGTCTGGGTTTGCAGCAGCTCTGTACCTGATCTCTGCTTGCTCAGACTCAGACTCGGGGGTCTGGCAGCAGTGATGGGGACATCCTGGCAGGTCCCAGGGGCTCCCAGCAGGTCACAGAGGCTCAGACTAGAGTGCAAGGGAGGGCAGAGAGTCTGTGGGTCTCCAAGACAAATGGGCTTGAGATGGCTCAGCCCCTCACAGGGTCTCCATACGACACCATCACTTTCCCTGCCTCAGTTTCCCCCAACCCAGGAAGCTGAACAGCATCTGCTGCTTATTTCTGTGTTACAGAGCAGCTGCTCTGTGGCCTGAGAAATTAGAGGGAGGTACAGGAACCTTGCCTGTGCCTCCCCTCCAGCAAGGAGGGGCTCATCATACTCCAGGAATCCTCAATGAGATGGGCAGGGAGCTGATACAGCCTTGCAGTTACAGTGCTGCTGCTTCCCCCACACCTTTCACTATTTCACTTCATCATCAGGAAGGTGCTGCCTGTGACCAGGGAAACTTGAGGCTGCACAGTCAGACCTGGAGCTGAATCTGTTTTGCTGGGCACAAGGCAAACCCCACCCCAGAGCAGGAGTGGAGTTTGTGCACAGGGCTCTGCCTCCTTGCTTTAGGGGGATTTTTGCTACTTATATTTTACTCTTGAACTCAGAGTGGAACCTGACTGAACACATCCCACCCTGAAGCATCAAAGCTTTGATATTGCCCTGCTGGCCAGCGGGGGATGTGGATTCACATCCTTACATCACTGTCAGGTTCTCTCTCCCAGCAAGACAGTGCTGGTGGAAGGTGTGATGACCGACAGCCCTGGAGACAAGAGCCAACCCTGCACCACAGCCAGAATGCAAAGGAGGTCCCACAGTTCCTGGTACTCCCAGGGGAATGGAAAGGGAAGCCAGCCCCCACAGCAAGCAGAGCCTTGCAGTGCACAAACCTGTTGCAAATAGGTTGCAAGAAAATCTGATTTCTGGAAATCCTTCAAATCAGCAAGAAGGACCAAAGCAGCCATCCCTGGCCCCAGCTGAGGGTCACTTCAGCCTCTGAGCACAGAGCTGTGCACTGCCTGACAGCCTCTCTCAGGACTTGTTCTACTTGGAAAAGCAATCCGAATTCCAGCTCCCTTGAGAATGAGTGCTACTAGAGCAGAGCTCACCCTGACCTGTCAAAGAGAGGTGGAGAGTGGGGAGCTGGTGTGGGCACAGGCAGGGGACTGTGGTGAAGAGAAGGGGTGTCTCACTGAAGATTTGGGTGTGAACAGAGCACTTCTTGGCATCAGCCAGCAGTGCCTCTCCCAGCTCAAATGCCAGAGATGGGGCTGAGCCCAACAGCAAAGACCAAGACTCCAGAGGAAGATCTCCTCTGCTTTATTCCTTACACTCTTCTCCCCTGTAATTTCTCTGGAGCCTTTCCAAAGACATGGTAACATCAGTGTAAGGGCATCCCACAGCCCTAGAGGCTGGGCAGGTGAGTGGTGCAGCATGCTGTGACCACAGAAGGTGCTGCCTCTTACATCTCCACGTATTCCTACCCTGAAAACCAGGTACCAGTGCCTCTGCTGCTCCTGAGCTACCAGAATTCTCCCTTGCTGAATATTACCCTGTGGGAATGTCTCTCTAATCTGCCTTGCCAAAGCACTAGAGATCCTGCTGTCCTCCTTCTCCAGGAGACACAGGAGGCCACTTAACCAAGCTCAAACAAAAGCAAACCTGCACACCTCCTAAGTGGAAACTTCCCATCACATCATCTGAGATCAATGCCTTGACAGTGCAAGTAATTAGGCTCAATCCTACAAAATCTTATCCAAGGAGAGAAACCCCAAGGAATCCCTCTCCTTGGACCCAATAACTATCCAAAGGCACCTGCAACGACACGCAGGACTGGCGAAATCAATAGGGGAACATCATTGTAAGAATTAACTGTATCTGACGATGCATCCTTCTCTATTAGAGTTACAATCCCATCCAATTATGGATCTTGGCTGAACTTGTAATTATGAGTTCGGTACTACGGCTTCCCACTACGCTATTGCTTTGCTTCCATGAGGGAGAGGAGAGTCAATGAAAGGATAATGGAAAATTCCTTTCAAGGGGATGCAGCGATGGCCAAATTTATCTAGACAGGAGGGGAAGTACAATGGGGACTTTATGCAAGACAATTCCCTCAGTTAGCCCCCAGTGAACATGAACAAACCAGGTTCTCACAGCATTGCTCAAACACTAAGGCAGATCTAAGAGCCAGCCCTGTGCGACGGCGCGAGGCAGCTCTGCCTCCTGAATTCCCTTCAAACCCAGCCATCAAAGCTGCCCAGGTGAACAACAGCTCATTCACAGGGAAAGAAAGGAATTCTTCCCATTCATCTGTTCCTTTATATTTGCCCTACAAGGAAGCTAAAACCAACAACCAAAAACCAACACAGACGTCAATAAAAATATCTTTGTACCGACATCCAGTATGAGCCCTTTTCAAGAGACTTACAGAGCAATCGACCTCAAGGGGAATGGCATCAAGGCAGCCTTGAAAGATTTATCTGCCTCTCATTAAAACACAGTTTCCCATACCTTCCCTGTGCCCTATCACCCCTTTTCCCTAGTGGAAGCTGAAAAACCCCCGAACTTCAGTGACTTTTCCGACATACCCAAGGGCTGTCACAGCCTGCCCAGTATTCCTGAATAAGCCACTGCAAAAGCTACTCCAGCACCTGGGAAATTTGATCCCTGTATTAGCAGTGTTTTGGGACACTTTCTTTTGTTCCTGTTTGCAGCATAACCAATTCCCTCCTCCTGTCACACAGGCACGAAGATGATCAGAGGGGTGGAACATCCTTCCCATGAGGAAAAGCTGAGAGAGTTGGGATTGTTCAGCCTGGAGAAGAGAAGGCTTAGGGGTGAATAACTGCGGCCTTCCAGTACCTGAAGGGAGCTGGAGATGGACTCTGGAGAAGGACATGGAATGACAGGACAAGGGGAAATGCCTTCAAACTGACAGAGGGCGGGGTTAGAAGGAAGTTTAGGCTTAAGCTTATTGGGAAAAAATCTTGACTATGAAGGTGGGAATGCCCTAGCACAAGTTGCCCAAGGAAGATGTAGCTGCACCTGGATCCCTGGAAGTGTCCAGGACCAAGTTAGATGGGGCTTGGAGCAACCTGGAATAGTGGAAGATGTCCTTGGCTATAGCAGGGGGTGAAACAAGGTGATTTTAAGGTCCCTTTCAACCCAAATCATTCAGGGATTCTGATTTTATAATTTTCCCCTGAACACAGCTGTGTTTGTATCACAACAGGTAAGGAACTCATGAATCTTCTCATCCTTTTCATCAGTAGTTCATTTTAAACATGGTGATGATTTCGCTGGCTTCTAAAACACATGGGGGAAAAACCCAAAAAAACAAATATATAAAATTGAAGGCCCAGCCTTTGAGCAGGAACAACTGCAGCACACCCCTGTGCATGCGTGAGCTTATTCCCGTGTGCAACCATCGAGCTGATCAGAGGTGTTGAGGCAATTTCACATTCAAATAAACACACTGGAAGCGTTTATGGGAATGGCTCATCATGGAAACAAATGGGGCCGCGTGCTGCCGCGGTGGGCACCAGCATCTATCTGGCTGCCGAGGCCCGGCTCCCTGCACAAAACAAATGGAGGGAGCAGACCCACTGTGCAATTTTTAAATTGCTTCCCAACGGAGTTATTTCCCGACAGTGATTTTTCAAACCCAGCAGCAGCAGCAGCAGCAAAACTCGTCCTCTCCTCCACCAAACGGCTCAGGCGGAGAGTCCCGAACAAAACCGATCCGGCGTGATGGGATGAGAGGAAATGTGGACACCAATTTCAAACTGCAGATGATGTTTCAGTTTCTTGGCTCCTCTAACTCACAAAAGAGCCTAAAGAGACTTGGGTCTACAAATCCCTGCCCCAACCCTCGTTTTGAGTTTGTTCTTTTTAATTGCCTTTGTGCCAAGAGGAAGGCTGGGAAATTTTCATCCAACGAATGTTTTGCATGGGAAATAAAGGGCAGGAAACAGGAGTTTGGAGCAAGGAATTGCCAGGGAAACCATCCCTGACAGCTGCACTGGTGCCAGGACAAGGACAGACACAACCACTCCCCACTGGTGCAGCTTTGGGGAAGTGCCAAGGCATGTGGAGGGTAACTGATATTAGAAACCATCAAAGAACCAGCAACATCACTGGGAAATGGCGTTTATGGCCCCTGCACGGTGCTGCATCACACAAACAGCACATCTTGGGACGTGCTTACCACCAGACTGGTGTGGCTGTCCTTTAGACATGGGCAATATCAGACACCATCACCCATGAGCCAGTCAAGGTGCTCAAGCATTTCTTTTCCCTGACACCAGCGTGCAGTCACAGAATCCTTTTGTACCTTTGCTTCGCCTCCGGCTCCGGTACTGCTCCGTGTAGAATGTGAGCTGGGTTTCATCGTCTGCCTCTGAGCCAGAGTTGCCTTTGGCACGTCCAAACCCGATCCCACCTGCAGGCAACAGAGAGGAAAGAATCAGCCCTGGCAGCTGGGATGCTCAGGAGCAGGTGGAGCCGGGAGCTCCTCAGCAGAGCTGAGGATTTGGCCAGCAACCCCCACTCCTTGCTAAGGTTCTTCGCTTGGGGTCACCAGTAGTGATCAGGAACTTTTACCACTCATGAATTCATCAAAAATCAAAGCCCCACAGTGCCTGTAGTGATGAGAATGTAAGAAGACACTTTCTACCCTCAGCAATAAACACATAAATGTATTTCAAGGGACTTACAAAGAAAACCCCTGAGTGTGGCAGCTGCTCTCCCCAAGGACACCTGCGTGGTGAAATGCAGTGAATTTTAGCAAACCCAACAACGACAAATGGTACAGGGGGAATAGTCCTTGGGGGGCATCCAGGACCCCCCTGAGGGTCCTTCCTGCTCCTCAGCACCCAGTTTGGCCCATCTGCTCCCCCAGTTTGCTGTGGTAGCAGCAGTCAGGACTGACAGGAGCAGGGCTGCCCATGGTTCACTCAGCCTCCTCCTCTCCAGGTATGGTGTGGGATGCAGCAGAAGCCCAGCTGGCTTCATCCTCAGACCCACCATGTAGCAATGGATGCTTAAAAAGCACCACAGACTCTAATTGGCAGAAGTTCTTCAATCTTTGCAGAGCTTAAAGCAAAGAGGCCTCTGGGGGTTGACAGTGGCCCTTTAAACTGCCATTAAAATATTTTACTGTTTTTAAAAAATCTTTTATTCTAGGCAGCCAGCACAATTTCCCCATTTCTTGGCAGGAGAACAGAAAATGAGCGGTGCCTTCTGCCCTCTGAAATCCTTAATAACGGCGATGAGAGGTGGCTGGCAGCAGCCAGAGGGACATCAGGAGCTCGGCACGTGGCTCCTGCCCTGGCCATGCCCTGACCTGGCCGGGCAGTGCCCTCCAGGGCAGTCTCAGCAGCAGGGCAGAAGGGGCTCTGCTGGCTCCTTTCCTCCTGGAAGCAGCAGGAAGGGTCAGTGCTTGCACACAGCAGCATTTAGTGCTTGGGCAGGGGGGGTTTAATGATGCCAAACCATGACCCACCATCAACCCCTCTTCAGCCACAAACTCCACAAAAAACATCCAGTGCCATGATACACACACACCAAGGGGTTTGAAAGGCACAGCGGAGTGGTAAGACCAATAAGGCTTATTTGCATGACTGAGGAAAATCTTAATTAACCTGGACTTCTAACACAGGCTCTTGGGCAACCAGCCAGGTCTGCAGCCCTGCTGCAAATCCCCTTCTCACTGAGCAGGGGCTGCTGCAGTGGCCGGGCTGGGGGACAGACCCCAGCTATGGGAGGGTGTCCCCACTGCTGAGAGCTCAGCACAACTCAGCAGGGAGCTCCCACTCCCTGCCTGGGAGAGGGACCTGGATGCTGCCTGTGCAGGTGGGACGTGGCACATCCCTCTGTCACCTTCCCATGCACCAGAGCTGGCTCCTTTTGCACAGGCAGATGGCTGGGGTGGGCAGAGGCAGCGACGTGGTGCTCTGTGCTGTCACACCCCTCCGAGGTGACCAGGCAGCTGGCACAGGCAGCAGCTGCTCCAGCCCAGCCCCCTCCGGCCACTCTGTGTTTGTGTGCCGGCTGCGTCGCCGTGATGGATGGAGCTGACATGTTAAATTACTCAGGCTGGATGTCTTCAGAGAGCTGGTGACAGCGATATTGCATTTTCTGATTACCCAGCACTGAGCAGGATGTATAAATACAGGAGTTGTGAGACCCGGCGCAGGTCCCCAGCCCGCAGCGGAAACATCTCCTCTGACCCAACATGCAGTGCCAGAGGTCAGCTGGCAACACGAGCCTGGGGAATCACTGGGATCACACACACACCTGCCAGGGATGTGCTTTTACACCTCTGTGCCATCAGGGATGCTGGACCACATCTTGGTGGTGGTTTTGAGGATCTCAGAACCCAGTTGAGGCAACCTGGAGAACACAGGGACGTTAATCCTCAAGTAATCCTGCCATGAACCTGATTTCATGTTTAACTGGCCCCAAAATCTGACCAAATTAGCCCAGTGAGACGTTTACAGCTGGGGCAATGCCTGCTCTTCCACATCCATCACCAGCCTTGGTCACAGACTGCTCACCAGGGCATAGGGCTGAGGATATTCATGATGGGGCCAAGGATGCTCACAGCAGAGAGCACCCACCAGCAATTACTGATGAACAAGGACAGCATCGAGGTAAAGCCAAGCAGTTCTGCCTGGTGAGCATTCCCTTTCCTTCAAAAACAGGAGAAACCACCCAGTATCAAAAAATCACTGCAATTGGTTACAAACTGGAATAAATAAAAAATGAGAACAAAATAAGAAAAGGAATAAGAAAAAAAAAGAAGAAGACAGAGAACAGGAAAATGGTAATTTTGAAGTGCTGGGTATCAGTAAGGAACTGGAAACTCACTCCAGCAGCTCTCATGGGGAGATACACCCTCTTTACACCCAGTTTACTCCTGCTTTTGAGACTGGAGAAAAAACAAAGCCACCCTTCCTCACGCAACCCCTCATCTCCTGCCCAGCTCGTTCAGCAGGCAGTGGGGCAGGAGGCAGGCGGGGAAGGGGAGCTCAAGGAAGATGCTCTTGTTTCTAATCCTGTTTGCAGATTTACAAGCTCGTTAATCCCTTCAAATAGATCTCAGCTCAGGCAGGGCGCCTGTTCTGAGTGCAGCATTAATTTAGTGGGGAGCAAGGCGGGGTGCCAAGGCAAACACCTGGTTAGGGTGTAATTAAAGACGGTCCCGTTAATGCAGAGTGGGGATAAGGAAATAAAATTCAGGAACCAGAGTTATCCCCAATGACTTTTCGTTAGCCAAAGCCACGTGTATATTTTTAAAAGTGAGATTTTTGTCTTTAAAGAGGAAATAAAGAACACACATGACATTTTTAATCCTTTCCCCGAAGCCAGGAGGTCGTAGAACATCTCAGGGAAAGAGCTATAGATGTAAAAGGAATCAAAACTGAGTTAAAATAAAGAAATAAGTAGCAGTAGCTGTTTGGATAACTCCTATCTGAGGCCAAGCTGACCTCACCTACTTAATCCTTCAAAGTTGGATGTTATAATAGAAGTGGAAGCTCAGTTTTGTCCCCAGCGGTGCCATCTTGGGTGACATCTTTGTGATCCCTCTGCCCTGCAGCCACTATCAATGGAAAAAGAATTCTCTGCATCCTTTTCCTCCAGAAAAAGGGCAAATCCCTGTACATACCACAGAATTCAAGACCCACAACTTCCCTCATCAACCAAGTTGGGCTCACCTCATTCCATGCTCACTCGCCCCACACAACATTGCCTTCTGGGGGTTCAACAGGGCCCTCTGTTCTCAGGCTTCCCAGTAAAAACTGGGTGAGGAATGCCCTCCCCAGCACAGCAGCGAAGTCCATGCACTAAGAGCTGGCAGGGCAATACAATTAGCTAAGTGGAAATTATTCAGTTTAATTAATTTAACTCTGAAAAGAGCACCAGAAAACTGAAAAAAGAAAAGAAAAAAAAAAAAAACCTAAGTGTGGTCAGTGGTCAGACAAAGGTAAATTAGATGCAGATTTAAGAAGGAACAAGAAATACACAGACATTTTCTTTTGAAACTTACCCAGTCAACCCCAAAACCATAAAAGAATAAAAATAAAAAGCCCTTTAAAAGAAAGCACCCTGTGGCAGGGGTATGTTCACACACGCTGGCTTCACATACAGCTGAGGAAAACTCTTCCTCTTCACCAATATTGCCTCTTCCTTCTGTCTCTACCCAAAACACCCCAGCAGTGCAGGAGGTGCAGCAACCAGGCGACAGTGCCATGGGCTTCCACTGTGAAAAACTGGGATCACACTGGTCCCAGTCAGCAGCCCTTGCACAGCCTGAAGGGTTTCATTTTCACCAGGGACCAACTCAAAGAGCTGGACACGATGTCATGACTCGGGTGAGGTGAAAGCTCCCAGGTGAACGCCAGAAAAGCCTCACCAGCAAAACTTTGGGTTCCACAAGCACCACGGGGCAGTCTGGCAGGGCAAGGTGAACGCAGAGGTGTCCTGGCAAAAGCAGGGATTGTGGATGAGCCCAGCTGAGCCTCAGCTCTCCTCCTCGGGGAGCTTGGGCTAACTCAGGGCACAGCCAACACCTCCAAACCACAACAACTGCAGCCCCAGTGGGCAGCACATCCCGATGGAGAGCACGTCTCAGGAGGAGGACCATGATGGGTTATTTCTTCCCAAATCCAGAGTGTTTTTAAAGCCCTGCCCCAGGAGAGGGCACCAGACCCCCTCTCTGAGCACAGCAGCCACCCCCAAGGCCACCTCCCAGCCCCGGGCTGGGCACACAGCACACACCAGCCAAACCCATCAGCCGAACCCACAGCCTCAGCCCCTGCCCTGCTGCCTCTCCCCAGGGCATCACTTCTGGGGCAGCCAGCTTGGGATGCTCCGGGGCAGCATTTCAGGATCAATAAACGCTCTGGAATGCAGCATCCCTCCCTCCAAGCTTGGGATGCTCCGGGGCAGCATTTCAGGATCAATAAACGCTCTGGAATGCAGCATCCCTCCCTCCAAGTCTGCCAGCCCCCAGCAGAGTCCTCTTCCTTCCACCCTCGGCTCTCTCCAGCCTCGCTCTCCCTCAATTATTTATAAGCTCTGAATGTGCTTCACTCCACAGAAGTGTTTAGGGAGAAAGGTTGTATGAAAGAGTCATTAAACAAAATAAAGTTATATGGCATTGTAAATAGAGAGGGTGGTGTGGTCTGGTGGGTTTTTTTTAAAGTCAATGTACTTGGGAAAACAGCACCTTTCCCAGAGCTGCTGGAAACACTCAGGGCAAAATCAGATTTAATGAGGAGCAATGGGCAGCAGCTTATGCACATTCAGAGTAGGGAAGTAAAGCAAGGCAAAGTTTATCCCGGATTTGTTTCCCTTGGGCTGGGGATCAGGTTTGGATGGTTTATCCCATCCTTCTGAAGGAGTAGCACTCGGAAACCCTTTCAGAGCCTTTCCATAGAGGGGGAGATCCTTCTGCTGTGTGCAGCTCCTGCAGGGAGAGCGCTCCAGCTGTAGGGCTTTGATGAGGTTAAACATTAATTAAATCAAACCACAAGAAAATAATTACACACATGCATCCATCAGGCTGACTTGTCACTACCCAGAAACAAAGTTGGATGCAAACTCCATCAGCGGAACTGTCACGAGGCCGTTAGGAGGAAATGAATGTATCCCAAATGGACAATTTCATTTAGGGGGAGGAAAAAACAACTCTCAGGGATTGCAATGGATTAATGAGGCAAAGGGTTTATGTTTGCAACTGGATGGAAAACGTAAACATCCCGAGTTGTGGTATCATCCTTTACCCTGAAGGGCTGTTTGCACTCCAGCCACGTGCCTGCCGGAGGCACAGGTAACCACAGGCTGTAAAAACAAAACCTCCAGCACAAGAAGCCAGGGAAAGGGCAGGGAAAGGCATGGATAGCTCAGCAACAGCGCCCAGCCACCACCTCTACGAGCAAAAAGATTTTTAAATTAAGAGGGAAAAAGGATGGATGGGATGGGGCTGTGCAGTGCGAGACCTCCACTGGAAACATTGGGACTACCTGGCTTCCTGGGGGTTTCTGAGGACTGAGAGCTTAAAATCTCTTTTTTAGGGTGTGCTGGTGAGGGATCCCCGTGGCTGGGGACACAGGGAGTCAGAGTCCCCTCCTGGAGCCCGTGGGGTACATTCTGCCTCAGGCTCCTCATCCCTCACAGGCTCTGGGTACAAACCAATCTCATTTTCCAACTGAGGAAACCAGTGGGGAGAGATGGAGAGAGACCAAGGGTGTTTTTGTCACTGACTTCCCCATGGTCACTAACAGGCAGAGGAACCCTGGGGAGGTAGGAAATTGGGTGGGGGGTGTCTTCAGAGACTGGGGACAAGCCAGGCTGGCTCAGGGCCACACTCTGCTCCCACTCAGCTGGAGACTCTGCCTGCAGCTGGGCACTGTGCCTCCTCCTGAGCTCAGCTGCAAGGATTAACTGGATTGTTCCATTAGTGACCAAAAAGCCTCTTACCTCCAGTTCTAAAATGAAATAAAAACACACCAAAAAAAAAACCCAAACCGAAAAACAAACAAACAAAAAAAATAGGCTGGAGCAGGGAATCAGAGAAACTGTCCCTGACATTCCCCATGGACCTCAGAGCACCCACACTAAAATCCAGAGACACGTATTTGAATAACTACTGGAAAACAAACCAAATAATTTAAACCAGTTAAAGAGTCAGAACATTTTCTTTACACTAAGTAAATAATTTATAGGCAGAGCTATAATAAAAAAAAAGCCCTCTCCAGGCCTGTATCGCAGGAAAATGTATCAGGAATAAAAGATCACATTTCAGCCTCATAAATAAATGAAAAACAAAACTAGCAGTAAACACAAAGAAAAGTATTGCCTTCCCAGCTCCCAGAGCTGACACAAAGACCCTCAGAGCACTGGGAAGATCATGGCCAAGGGAGCTTCATCCCCATCATCCCTGAAGGGATCTGTTATCTCCTCCTCCTCCTCCAGAGATGAAGACCTGGACCCAAACCCTTGGCACAGTCTTCTGTGTGGTACAGCCTTTAGATCCATGAATGCTGTGCTCCCACTCTCTTTGTAGCTCCTAAAGCCCCCAAGCACTGGGAAAGCAGAAAGAAGAGATGTCCCAATGATGCGTGTGATGGCCAACATGAATTTCACCCCTTCATGAAACCAAAACCTGACAGGAAACTGTTTCACTGTGTTTTAGCTGGGGCAGCTGAGAGGGACCCTGGGCGTGCAGCAGGATGCCTTGGAGGGGTCATGATGTGACACAACTCACAGGCACCTCCACCAGCCCACCCAGAGGATGCTGTGTGGGGTTTGTCCCTCTCTCACCCCACCACAGAGGAGCTCTGGTGTCCCCACGCTCAGCAGTGAGGGTGAGGAGGCTCCCACCTTCCTCCCCAGCTGAGCTCCTCTGGCCATGGCTGATGCCTTGGAGTGGCTGCCTAGAACAGAGGCTAGACAAGATTAAGACACTAAAAGTAGGTATTTATTAAATGCCTTCAATAAATACACGTTGGGCAGTCAAAGCCCCCCAGAGGCTGCACCCAGGCTGGACAATGGTCATGATTTTTTCCAGACAGATATACGTTTGGTCTATTTGCATATCAGGGGTTAATTCTCCAATTACAGCTTCAGGAAATGAAGTAATTTACCCCCAATATATCTGCAATTCATTTTTGTTTATACTTTTTGTGGTCTGAGATAGAGGGTGCCCGTGGTTCATGTGGAGACAGATGGACACGCCAGCCCTCTCCCTTGGAGAGGTATCCCTTGAATGGGATATGATGAGAACTTCTCAAACTCTCATGGATTGAGCAATCCTGGTCATGGTGAGTTCACAGCATGCTCATGTGTTGGGACTGATTGTTTTTTCCCCTTTGTACCACCCTGCTTTTCCCCATAAAAACCCCAGTTTCTGCCCTTTTCAGGAGGGAGCTGCCATCTCAGGGTGCTGGAATAAAGGCTGCCTCTGTGGAACAACCACAGGCTGCTCCTGTCTCTTTGTCCCTGTGTTGGCCAGGGTACACCTGGCAAGGCAGAGCTGAAATCACTGCTAGGAGCTGAGCTGTCTGCCCCTTGCTGAGGTTACCCAGCAGCTGAAGGACTGCCTGAGACTCACAGTAACTTATCTCTTGTGGGACCTCTCTCTGGGAAGGTTGTGGCATCCAGGTCCAGCCATCAGACCCCAAGCTGGCCGCCTCTGGGGCTGTCAGGCTTAGAGGGATTGCTTTGTCTGACCAAAACGTGAAGACAGTTAACTAACACTTGTCGCCCTGTTCTTTTGAAAGTTTTAAAGCTCTTTTAAAAATTTCCCATGCCTTCTGATGTTTACATATTTCTACTGGAGTTATCACGCACTGTTCATGTAAATAATGATTGTTTTGCATTCCTCTTTGTAGGAGGAGAGAATTGATGGACTGTTAGTTTGACCAGTGTGGTTGGAGAGGTGGCAATTTGATTATCCAATCCACTGTCACTTTTGGAATTCTATATATTGCGAGGTCAGGAATAAACTTCCTCTCTTTTCCCTCTTTTGCATTGAGGTCAGGAATAAACTTCCTCTCTTGTCCCTCTTTTGCATTGAGGTCAGGAATAAACTTCCTCTCTTGTCCCTCTTTTGCACTGAGGTCAGGAATAAACTTCCTCTCTTTTCCCTCTTTTGCACTGAGGTCAGGAATAAACTTCCTCTCTTTTCCCTCTTTTGCATTGAGGTCAGGAATAAACTTTTCCCTCTTTTGCACTGAGGTCAGGAATAAACTTCCTCTCTTTTCCCTCTTTTGCATTGAGGTCAGGAATAAACTTTCTCTCTTTTCCCTCTTTTGCACTGAGGTCAGGAATAAACTTCCTCTTTTATCCCTCTTTTGCATTGAGGTCAGGAATAAACTTTTCCCTCTTTTGCATTGAGGTCAGGAATAAACTTCTTCTCTTTTTCCTCTTTTGCATCGAGGTCAGGAATAAAGTTCCTCTCTTTTCCCTCTCTTACATCTAGCGTGAACGTGCGGGTTATTTTGTGTCGTACTGTGCCAAACGCTCCATACGGAGTTTAGAGCCACACGCTAACGCAGTACAGGATTTGCAGGACACAAAAGCTGAAATCCCAAGGCCCCACGTACCTCGGGGCCGGCTGCGGCGTTTCCGTCGGCCCACGGAGGTGCTGCGCAGCGCGGGCTGCAGCTGCCCGATCTCGATGGGCGTGTTGGTGCGGAAGCTCTCCTTGAACTTCTGCATCAGCGACTCCACCGTCTCCTGCGTCACCTCGGCAGCTGCAACACCAGCAAAGGGGCTGTGGTTACAAAACAGCTGGGCCACCGTGTCCCCCCCACCCATGAAAACCTCCCCTTGTACAAGCTGGAGTTCAGTCCTGGGGCAGGAGCTCTGCCAAGAACCTCTGATTTCACCCACAGGGACCCACCCAGCTCGTTTCAGATCTTACCAAAGCCACCCGTCCTAGAAAATTAAGAGTTGACAGAAATTGTGTTTTCCACGCTGCTCGCCAGCATTTTGGATTATTCCTTGCCTTTCCCTTATCCAGCCTGAAACATCCAAATCATGCAGGGCACTGAGCTGGCTTTGGGTCAGGCTTAACTCTACACCAGAAGCTCAGAATTGTATCCCAACCTTGGCAGTCTTTTAGGGCAGCAGGAGCTCCCCAGCAGGCAAGTTTGGGATTTTTGGGAGGGCTGGGGTGGGAGTCAGGAAAAGGGCAGCTGGTCCAGGAACGCTCTGGGCTGCATCAGGATTCCTTAGGGTCTCCCAGAGGCTGCATCCCCATGCTGGGATGCACGAGGTCAGGAGACAAGGAAACAAGGAAACAAGTTCCTGCAATGCCCCATGGCATGTGCCACATCACGCTGGAATCTAAGCAACTCCTCTCCTTGCTCTCACACACCCTCAACTCAGTAATGCCAATAAATTTCCCAGAACTTCCGATGAAGCTCTCCACCTTCACAATGGGCAGTAACAGGAAATCTTGAAACCACTCACAAAAAGCAAAGATGAAATTTGGGATCAAAAGGCCTGTCCTGCAGGACACAGAGGTCTCCCAGGTTCAGTATTCGTTTGACCTCTGTCAGGTCCTTAAATAAACTCATTAGCAGAACATAACCAATCTCCTGTCTCCATTTCCAGAGTCACAAAGTCCCTTCCATGAGCATCAGAAGCTTCCCATGCCCGCAGCATGGCTGTGTGGAGATGGCAGGGAGGGATGCCAGGTCCTAGAGCCACCACATATCCCACCTGGAGAAGGATGAGTGAGCACTCTGGAGCCCCCAGCCTGCCAGGAGTTATGATGTATTAGCCCATCACATCTCCTGCATCCAGAGACATCAGATGTGCACGATGCCCCTCGGGCACTCGGCAAGCTCAGGGTGCAGAACTGCTTTGCACCACGGACACCAATTCCCTACCCAGTGTGGTGCAGGGAATTTAGAGTTGGAACAGAAGCTGGCCATGCAGGATGAGGCATTTGGAATTCTAGACAAGGATTTCACCTAAACAGAGAGTCTGCAGCAGACTGTCCAACATCCAGCCATGCTGAGGGGAGCAGAGAGCCCTCAGCATCCAGTGCCACACCAGGAGCAGGTTCCCTTCCTTCTCCCTAAATCCCATATGTAGGCACACAGTTTGTGTCCCTGGGGCTGTGTGTGGCACAGTTTGTGTCACTGGGGCTGTGTGTGGCACACAGTTTGTGTCACTGGGCTGTCTGTTTATCTCTAACATGTTCTGCTGCCCTGCCGCAGCTCTGTCCTGCAGGGCAGCGTGTGGGGCTCTGCCCTCAGTGGGATGGTACAAACATTAAATACCACAACTACCTGTGCTGGATTTACAATAACGTGCCAATATCTGTCACCTACGTTGGACAGTGTGTCCCCAGCCTGAACCAACAGAAAAATGCCAACACCACAGTGAAACATGGAGGGCATGAAGCAGGAGAAAAAGGACAAGGCACACCCAATTTCCTCCATCTTGTCCCCTTTGAACCCCTAATCTAGAAACCTAAAATTTTACTTTTGCACCCATGCCACACTTAATTATTACTCATATCAAACACTCAGAGCTGGTAATTGATCCTGTAAGATTGAAAACTCTTTTCCATGGACAGAGATCACAGACAGTGTCTCTGGGGGCTCTGTCCAGGGGGGTTCCTGACCCCTGCCAGGGTCCCAGACCTGCCAGGGCAGCCAGAGGGAAGCCCTGGATTCCCACAGGGAGCCCAACCCCACAGCTCCCTTGCCCAGCAGAATGCATGGCAGGGCCTCCCCTGAACAGATGGAGACGTATCCAGACCCTGGGGCCGTGTGATGCAGGAGTTGTGGAGGGGGAGCAGGAGCTCTGGAGTGGCTTGCACTGCTGAGGCTTATTTACCAAAAGGAGGCCAGGAGGAGAGCACAGAGGGAGGAGGAGGAGGAGGAGGAGGAGGAGGAGGAGGAGGAGGAGGAGGAGGGGAGCATGCCTTCAGCGAGGTGACAGCAGCCTCATGCCCCTGCTTGGCTGATGGGACCGTGGTGACTGTACCCAGCTGGCCACCACACTGGCACACCTGTCAGAGGAGCAAACACCAAGAGAGGGGCAGTGGGGAGGGAGGGGGGTCCCTCAGCCCCCAGCTCTTTGGGATGATGCTACAAATACTGCAGGAATTGGGAGCAAAGGGCTGCAGTGCTCTGCACAGTGCCAGCACATTGTTGGCTTCTCTGTGCCCCTCAGCTCAGGGGTTTGGAAAAAGGAAATGGGAAAGGGAAGCAGGAGGGAGGAGAGAAAAGTAAAGCAGGGGAAGACAAGGAAAAAAAAAGGAACAGGAAGGGGAAATAAAAAAATAAAGGTAAAGAAGGGAAAATGAGAAATGAGAAAAGACCCTTATTATTGACACAATCCCAGCAAAGTTTGGCATGGGTGGGTAGCACAGAAAAAACCCTCAGTGACAAATGAAAGATAGCAGAGTTTCTGTGTAAGCATGAGGGGGTGAGATGTGTGAGCATGAGGGGTGAAGGATGAAGAGACAGCCCTTCATGCACTGCCAGCAGTGCCAAAAGGGACAGAGAAGTGACCACCGCACTGTAACAGAATGAGACAGCACTCGCTGGGGCCGTTCATCACATCCACGAGAGAGACAGGCCACTGCAAACCACACTGCCTCTGGGCCCCCCACAGCAGCTACTGGAGGTTCCAACTGGTCAGAAAAGGATGGGAAGAAGCACTACTGTGGGTAGACAGTGCCGTAATAATTTGTTTTAAGTACAGACCAGCCCTGGACTGGTCAGGCAGTTGGATTAGCTGATCCCTGTAGATCACCTCCAACAGAACTACTCTATTCCACACAACCCTGCCAGCCCCCTGCACTGCCTGTGCCAAACACAGGCTCAGCCAGCAGCTCCTGGCACCTCCTCAGCTCCCACATGCTGCTCCCCAGCACGACACAGCCACGTCAGCCGTGCCCAGGCACCAGCTCCTCCCAGGCTGGCCCAACACGACTCGTTCCGGAGGCAACAGGACCGTCCTCCCCTGGAGCACAGCGTGCCAAACGCCTTCTCTCCCCTCCCCAGCTTCCAGGATAAATCCACCAGGCCTACTGAGCTCACAGCTTTGTCACCTTCGTGCTGAGAGATTCTCCAGCCTGGCAGAGGTGGTGAGATCCACCCCGAGGTTTGGCACAAGGCTGTGATCTCCATCTCCCCCCACGAGCAGGGGAATCACGAGGCTCTCCAGCCCCCACAAAATCAGCTTCCCTCTCTGGCAGCACTTTAAGGACACAGCTGAAGGTCACCCTACCTTTGCAAAGCACAGCACACATTCCTGCAAACACCTCCCTCCTGTCCACCCCCATATTCTATTTGAAAAGTGATTTGCTCTCCTTATGGCTCCCCTATTCGTTTTGCACATCTCCCACAAAACAATTCCTACCCAGAGCCATTCTCTCCTCCTTGCTTTCTGCTGGCACAAATTGCGGTGGGAAAATATGTTGTTTGGCTTAAAAATTACAACAACAACAACAACAAAAAAAGTAGTCATCAGCTGAACAATATGAGCAATGTTTGGGTAAAAATGCATTCCAATGGAGATGGGAAGCAGCAGCATTCACTCCAGGACAGCCAGGAGAGCTGCACCCTCCCAGCCACACTGGATGGGTACAGGGTCTGTTCTGGGGACACGCCACAAACAGGATCTCACCATCCCAGGAGGGATTCCCCATCTCTGAGTCCCAGGCTTGGATCAGTGCAGCCAGCCACAAACCCCATGTGAGAGATGAACTATTTGTGAGCCCCCACCAGCTGCACTTGGGTGTTGTCTCCACTGTTCCCAGACATTCTCGAGGCACTACAAAACCCCTCTGACTATGCAACCTGCTCCCAGCCAGCAAAGCTAGGCAGTGATGGAAATACTCCTTCGATCTCAGAAAAAAGCTCTCAAATTTGCTGAGGTGTTTTAGTCTTCAGACATGGCCTTGAGGACCCCAGTGGAGCAGCTTCTCCCCAAGCCAGGCTCAAACCTTGTGGTGCCAGTGGGTGGTGGGAGAGATGGACAATCCTACAGCCTGGATTGTGTAACTCATTAAAACAGAACAGTGAGGTTTATGGTCTGCAAAGGTGCCAGCTTCCCTGAGCCTCAGAGTCTTTGGTGTTTGGCTTAAAGGTTCTTTTCCTGGAGCCACAACCATCCGTGCTCTCCTCAGATACACCTGCACTCCCACAGCTGCAGGAGGACCACTGGCAAGGCACCAGCAGCTTCTATCAGAGCTTCCCACACTAGGTATGGACTAAAACATATTTTTATAAAACACGGGTCTTTAAGCATCTGGTTTTCCCATTTCTCTCTTTGATTTCTGGCTGTCGGAAGGCAAGTTATTGATCCCTCAGTATTAACAGTGCTCACAACACTCCCAGAGTTTCAGGGAGAGGACTAACTCCAGAGCATCTCAAGAGCTGCTCGACTGCGTGTTTAGCAACAAGACAAACTCAGTCAAGGATTAAATGAAGAAGTTTGGGTGAAATTAGAAGCCAAGGTCAGTGGGGTTTCTACTTCCTGACCTGTCACATGGAGGATGCAGCCCCTTCACCTCAGATACTGGCTCTTCTCAAAGACTCTCCTGCCCTTTCACTGACTACTTCCAGTATTTTTCACATCTGCTTTTTCTAGGCATAGGGCAGGGGACTCTCCTGGGAACCACTGACGTGGGCTCTAAAGGTCTAATCCATCATCACGTCCCTAACACACCACGGGAACACCAGGCAAGTGCCAGTGTAATGATGTTATAATTGTTTCCTCCAAA